ACGGGGTGTAACTTGCCGTCGGCCTTCTTTTAGGAGAGGATGGCGCCGATTCCGAAATCAGAAGCGTCTGTTTCCATGACAGCGGGTTCGGCTGGGTCGAAATGAGCTAGGACTGGTGCTGTTGTGAAGGCCTCCTTAAGGTCCTTGAAGGCTTTCGCCATCGGTTCTGTCCATCTCCAAAGTTTCTTATCCACCGAGTTTCCTTTCGAGAGAGCCTGGGCGATTGTGGAGAATCCCTTGATGAACCTTCAGTAGAAGTTGGCGAAGCCCCGAAAGGACTGTGACTCCTTGAGCGTAGTTGGCTGCTTCCATTCCAAGATGCTTTTGACCTTATCCTCTGCCATGCCGATGCCTTGGGGAGAGATGATGTAGCCAAGGAATTCGACTTCCGTGACCCCCCATTTGCACTTTTGCGGGGCAACGGCAAGGTGGTTGTCGGTAAGCCGTTTCAGGACTTCCAAGACCAGGCGATCGTGCTCTTCCTCGGTGTCGGCGTAGATCAAGATGTCATCCAGGTAGACGAGTACCCCTGCGTCCAGGAGGTCCATGAACAGATGGTTCATCATGACCTGGAATGTGGAGGGTGCGTTGATCAATCCCATGGGCATGACGACGTACTCGAAGAGACCATATTTGCATCGGAAGGCCGTTTTCCACTCGTGGCCCTTGGCCATGCGGACCAGGAAGAAGCCCGATTTGAGGTCGATTTTTGAGAAGATCTTCGCGGTTCGGAGGGCATGTTGGAGTTCCGTGATGAGCGGGATCGGGTGCCTGACGGGGACCGTCATTCTGTTGAGGACCCGGTAGTCGACTACTGGTCGAAGGGGATCGTCTGGGTCTTTTTTATCGACAAACATGAGGAGCGCGCTGCAAGACGAGGTGGATTTCCTTATTCGTCCTGAGTTCAACATCTTCTCAAGCCATGGTTTAAGGGCGTCGAGTTCGCGGCCACTCATCGCAAAGAGGGGCCGTGAGGTGGGGTTTCCCCTTTCTTCAAATCGATCTTGTGGTCCCAGGGTTGGTGATCGGGCATTCGGATTGCTGCTTCTTCGCTCATGATGGGAAGGAATTCTCGGAACTTTTCTGGCACCGCTGCGATGGCTGCGTCGACTTTATTCTGAATGCTTGCGATGGCCTCGGTCGGGGGAAGTCCTAAGACGAGAGTACTGGTACAGTTCTTCTGGCAGTAATCTGAGGCGAACTTGATCTCTTGTGTCTTGTCGAAGAAGTAGGCTGGCTCGTGCTGTTGTAGCCACCAATGGGGGAGGATAATATCGCATTGATCGTCCATTGTTGAGAGCTCGAAGTTGAGGCGGGTGTAGTGGTCTTCTTGATGGCGAAGGACGACTGCCTCAGTGTAATATCTTCCTCCTATCGTATCGACGGCAGAGTTGAATCCCATGATGGTTCGGATACGCGGCCTCTTGATTATCGGGAGCTTCCAAACCCGGGCTTTGTGGAATGAAATGACGGGGATCGAGCTTCCCGGGTCCAGGAGGACTCGGACGGGGTGTTCCTCGTTGTTGTAGAGCAAGGTCATTCGTACGATCGGCCGCGTTCCTGAGAAGGGCTCTGGGCAAGGTTTCTTGCGAGGCTGTTCCTCTGGGTCATCGTCGATGCTGAGCCTTTTCAAGGTGCAAACGACGGGGTGTTCTGGGGTTGCACCAAGGTGAGACCGAGGTAATCCATGGGGTGGGTCATGGCGGCCACTTAAAAATCCGAGTCGGAGTCGTTCATTTCCATAATTCTGGTGGCAGCGGTAATCGCATCGACTTTGGCCTTCTTGAACTGGGCCTCGTTATCTCGGTTGAGGGCCTCATCCCCCTCTTCGTCTCGGTCGCTGTTCTTCCTTTTGACTGCGGCCGTTCTAGCTGGTTGAGGTAATTCCTTGTTGTTGGTGTCCTTCCGAGCGAAGCACTCAAGTGTGTGATGATTATCGCGACCGCAGCGCCAGCAGGAGACTCGATCTTTCTTACGTTGATTGACGTCGGTCTGATCGATTCCATTCACGGCTTCGCGGACGTTGTTCCATTTCTTGTCCTTGGCTTG